TATTTGAGTTTGGGAGTTTGAACATTTGAATATTTAACTTTGAAAATTTTTATGTTTGAACTTGAGAGTGTGAAAATTAGAATATTTAAATTTGACAATTTGGAAATTTGCCTACTTAGCTTTGAGAGTTTGAAAATTTGAATGTTTGGCATTGAAAATTTCTAAATTAGAATATTTCACTTAGAAAATTTCTAAATTGGTTATACATAAATGTTTAAAAAATTGATCGTTCGAAGTTCGATATTTGAATATTCAAGAAGCGTATTCCCATATTGCTTCATAACTCCGGAGAACTATGCTCGTTGGACAAGGTCAATGAGCGTGTTCGCCACTCACGTGTGGGACACCGTACCACATTTGGGTTATCGATTTAGGCCAAATTTGGCACACACTTAGGACACACCCTTGCACGGATGATCTAAGCGCGAAAAGACTAAACGTTGGAACGAAAATTCAAGCCTTGCCTATTATACACCAAATCGAATGTGTACATACTTCAACCGTAGACCAAATTTCTACCAAATCGGTGACCCGAATGTCGCGCGCTCCCCTCGTTAGTTAAATTCTCCACATACGATGATTCATCTTAACCGTCTTCCTTCAATTGCCTTCACAGACTGCCTCCATATTCTGCTAGCGTTAAACGCAATGCAGCGAAACTCGTTTAAACCGTTTCATACTTACATAATAAGTTTATTCGGATAACACAGTTTCACAGGTTCTCAATAAATCCCTATTATTTTTCTCATTATAAACGCCCAGAAGAAATACTATTTTTTCATTTGTTTATTTTATTTTTTATCACATCATGGTTCGCCTTAAATTTGACGCTCGTTCTGTACATTTTAGAAAATTCTCTCTCTCTCTCTCTCGTATGAAAGTAGGTTAAAAATGCGATCGTTCATTTGGTAGTTGGTAGTAGTTATCTGGTAATAAATCTACGTTTTACGGTATGAGAGGTATTTTAACGAGATTTTATTTTGAACCACTTTTTTCTTCGTATATGCTGTATAATCACCGAACTTGTTAACGCATTGAGAGTAGAATAAAAAATAATAGAGAAAAGAGACAAAAATGTAGAGATATTTTGGTATTTTTGCACAAAAGCTTTTTTCGAAGATTATTTGTTTGTTTTTTTTTTTTTCTTTCTTACGTTAGTTAAATCATGCTTTAATTGTTGGGCACACATTGCACTTGCCATTATTATAATGCTGTTTATTAATCTTCAGTGCGTTAAAGAACACAGTATGACTGCGAGAATTGATAGAAAACCGTAAACATTTTTATTGAACGCAGGGATTAGGATGTAATCGAACGGACGATTTCAGTACACCAGTCAGTTCTGGCAGCAACATGGGCAGTATAGCACGGTTTCCAAAGTTGGACGAGTGTGCCCACTTTCATTACGAACATGTTGAACTCAGTTCCTTGGAGGTCAGTTACATTTTAAAATAACTTTATAACTATTTACTCTTGTCTCTTTATTATTTCGTTTCTTTACTTTATAAAAAAAAAAAAAAATATTCTAGA